ATACTGTGGTAACTGTAACAGCTTTGAAAGACCAGGTAGTAATTACAATATAAGCTGGCCCGTATAAACATTGTGAATGGGGCTGGATAAACAAGTCTCTAATAAGTAAAGTGTTACTATCCTGCAGTAAAAGGCTTAAAAGATACTGCTTTTGATACAAATCTATTTCTATTTAAAAGGAGGGCAAATCTACTGCTGCCAGGGACAAATGCATCATGCAGGGAAACGGGAAAGCCTACTTAGACCTTAATTTACACCCCCCTCCCCGAGACACTGCACTGAATTGCCTAGATTCATAATTTCTATGACCATCCAACGCTATCTATAAAAAACACGGGAAAAAAAAAACTACCCACGTCCTACCTAAACAAGCAGTGCGGCGCCCTTCTTTTTCTCAGCACATCTTGGGATTAGCTAATTCAGATGTTCCCGGCAACCTTTAAAGGCAAACGCCACGACCCTAAAACACGATGTCAGTACAATTAAGGCGGAAAGGGTGGCAAGACAGCCCACTGCGGTGGCCATTTCTAACATTGTGTTTTCACGTCGATCCATTCTAAAATGGGATGTGAACGCAAATGTTCTCCAACGCCCCCAGCTGGAACAACGGGAACCTCTGAATTAGCTAACCGGTTGAACAGCTAGTTGGCGCTGCACAACAGACACAAAGAAACTGACGCTAGCTGGCAAGCTAACACGCTAACCAAACCGAAACTTAAATCCAGACTAAGCTAAATTCGGTAGCAGATTTCTTAATAGAGCCGCTTTAGTGATTTTAGTCGACGTTTCTCAATGTGACGCTAAAGGTATCTTTAGTAGGCTGGAGTGTGGCTACTTAAGGTCACGACACGATTGCTAACCAAGCTGCAGACCGGTGCTAACGCTGGCTAGCTTAGTAGTGAGGTCACGCTCTCTCTCTCAACATGGACGCTCTGCTGTGCGGTAGCGCATTCAAATTTAATAATTTCCTCACCGCTAGCGCTTTCTCAAAAAAACCCGACACATCCAACCAGCCGCATTTACATAAGCGATTCTGTCGACTCACCCTCGGCAGCCTGCTCTCCCGGCTCACCGTCTTCCGTATCTATTTTCTCCATGTCGTCCACGTCTCCCTTGAGCATGGGGTCCATCTCATCGTCCTCGTCTCCTTCCTCTTCTCCCTCGCCCATTTCTTCGTCCACGGCAACGCCATTGCCGTCGCCCCCACTCTCCGGCTCTTCCTCCTCGTTGGCCTCCATGCTTTCTTCAATGGGGCCTTCTCCCTCCCCCTCTCCTTCTTCCTCCTCTGCCATACCTTCTTGGTCGGCGGCCTGCTCGAAACCGTCATCCGCCTCAGCTGCCTGCTCCTGCGGAGAAGCGAGGGCCTCCTCGTCCAGCGCGGCCTGCAGGCGGTCCATCAGCTCGGCCTTCAGCCCCTTGTCCGAAAGATTACGCTTTTTCAGCTCGTCTTTGAGCTCGTTAACTTTAAGCTTTTTGACGTTAATTGTGCTCATGGTGAATGTTTGACGGCGAACGCGCTAAAATAAGACGGGAAATAAATAAATGGACGCCCTTTGTTAACGGATGTAGCTCAAAACTGCGCCAAACGGCACCCGCTGTACAACCAATCCTTTGCAGGCACAGAGCTGCGCGAGCCTGCTGTGTGGGGGAGGAGTCGTTTCCTACCGTAACTGCCCAGAGAGAGGCGCAGCTTGGTTATGTAGCCTGTGGCCATCTGTCACTGCAGCTAAACGTTCCTTTCAGAAACCATTGTTGTGGAAAAGCGGGACAGATAGTACACCAAAAGATGGTTCCAGTAAAAAGCGCGAACGTTATTAATAAGTTTATCATTTTTTAACAAAACGCATTTTACAGAGGGCTGTTTAACTAGGTAGTGAGTTTAAGACAGGTCAGGACAGTAGAATAAAGGCACACATGTTGCGTAATGTGCAACGCTAATAATCAATATCGGTAAGCTAGAAACAATGCAGTACAAAGATCTCTCTCTTCTCGCCCCTTTTTCAATTTTATAAAATCCAAGAAGAGGCACAAATGTGATATCGTTTACGCCGACACGTCTTTCTGAATACGCGCTCTCTCCCGTGTAACGAAAAGAGCTGTTTAAAAATTCCCTTTTGTCATATCTGTCAATTGTAGAGTTTTCAGAGTTGATGTTGAAAATGTCCATGCACTTCTAAACAACACATAACTCCGTGGACTCTTCTGGAAAGCACTTTGGTGATTTGCCAACTCTTTGTTAAACTCATTTAAAGCAGCGCACACTGATTTCACATAAAGAGCTTCAGTGGCCGCAAAGCTCAGCCTTGGTTACGTCATCGGAGTTACCTTAGGTTTGAGATGTTTTTGCGATAGAAAGTCGCATCCAAACTTTTAAATTCTCTTTGTTTTCAGTCTAAAGACCTAAGATGACGTACCTCTGTTTTGATACCTGGCATTGTCAAACTGTGAAGGGCATTACAGTTAATATCACTAATAAATGGTAAACTGATATTTTTCAAAATGAAAGAAAACTAAATCGTGCCTACGAGTCAAATAATAATTAGTTTAAAAAATTGTATCTGGATTAACCTAATGAGTCAGAGGGGCAAGTTAAAATAAGACACGGAGAATAACCGCTGTCAAAATAAAACAGGAAACAACGAAGCAAGGAATCACAAACCGATAAGAAGACTGAACAACACACAGCAGGATACAGGGAAGGCTCGATTAACTTAGCGATTTGAATCTAAACACTACTGAACACCAACAGAGACCAGATAACAAAACGTAACAAGACTAAACAGCCTCCAATACCAGAACTAAGAGCTCCAAATACCCAAATGCTGAATGCTTACAATGCCACACAATGCCATATCTACCACAACACACATTTATATGTAAAATTAATGAAAAATAACAAAATTACTGTAACTGTATTTTGTAGTTTTCAGAATTGTGCACATAGTTCATCTGGAAAAGTCATGACTGTACGACTGAAAAACTTTAGTTTTTGCACATACAGCTTTTTAGATCTTGGTGATCACTGAAATTAAAGTTCATGCAAATAACACTTCAAAACAATTGTCCTTCTGGATCTTCCAGAGGGAATTAGCTTTTCAAGTCCTTGGGTTTCTAACCCGATTGGTTACATTTAAAAAGGTAGTTTGTGTTGACATTTGAGCAGTTTAGATGGAGACGCTCATTATTAATACAGGGTGAGCCGTTTGTATGGATACACCGTAAAAACATGGGAATGGTTGGTGATATTAACGTCCTGTTTGTGGCACATTAGTATATGTGAGGGGCAAACTCCTCAAGATGGGTGGTGACCACGGTGGCCATGTGGAAGTCGGCCATCTTGGATACAACTTTTGTTTTTTCAATAGGAAGAGGGTCATGTGACACATCAAACTTATTGGTAATGTCACAAGAAAAACAACGGTGTGCTTGGTTTCAATGTAACTTTATTCTTTCATGAGTTATTTACAAGTTTCTCTTTGTTCACAGCCATTGACATGTCGAAGTTAACACGTGAAGAGCGGATCGAAATCGTGTTGATATCTGGTGAACGCAGTAACCGGGTCACTGCAGCAGATTTCAATGCAAGACACGCTACGAAACCACCCATCTCCCATGCTACAGTCAGCAAACTGCTTGATAAGTTTCGTGAAACTGGTTCAGTGTTGGATTTGCCAAAATGTGGACGCAAGAAAACTGTCACTAATGAAGAAACATCAGTGGCTGTTTCACAGTGGGAAGGAAAAATCCTCTTTTAACAGGAAGAAACCTCCGGCACAGCTTGGCTCAGGGAGGGGCGCTACTTTTAAATACTCTATGTCAGCGGTCTCCAACCTTTTTTGCGCCACGGACCGGTTTATGCCCGACAATATTTTCACGGACCGGCCTTTAAGGTGTCGCGGATAAATACAACAAAATAAAACTAGTACTGGTACTGAAAAAAAGAAGATTTATTCATAACACACGTGAAAAGACCCAGGAAAACCGAGTTAACGATACAAACGATAACAAAATAACGCTGAAAACCGATAAAAATCCTGAAAACTATTCATTTCATACCTGAGCCTCAACTCTCGCGGCCCGGTACCAAACGACTCACGGACCGGTACCGGTCCGAGGCCCGGGGGTTGGGGACCGCTGATTTAGGAACCACAAATAAGTGTGAGAGCAAACTGTTCTTGGGTTGACAGGGTACTACGAGGTCTTAAAGATTAGAAAAAAGATTTCAATGCACGCGTTTTATTTTTTTAAAAATGTATTTATGTATTTATTTATTTTTTGCAATTTATTGCTTAATATTGTTCAATTTATTTAAAAATTGGATTAACCTGTAACAACACTGATGGCTCTAGTTTAGGCAGATGATCTGCTGTGGTGACCCCAGCAAGCAGACAGAAGAAGAGGACAAACACACATTTTAAAGTTCACTAATAATAATAAATAAATAAATAATAAATCACACAAAACTTTGACTAATGAACTTTGTCCCAGTATTCCAAAAGCTATTTTTCCATTGAAAGAATAAAATTAAAAGAAAAATAACGTTTCTGTTAGCTGGACTTGTTACACATACATGACTTTTCTTTGAGCACTTACAGTAAAATAGGTATTAAGTAAACACTAACTTATCATGTATTAATAAATTAATAAATACATTTCTGAGACATGGATTTCAGTTATTTGGAAATATTGTAGCTATATTTGCAGTTTCTCGTTGATACCATTGCTATAAGGTGAAAACAAACATTGTAAGAATAATGTGGATATTTCCGCAGACGTCTATTCAGGCATGTTGTCGGTTGTAAGAAGGTGCGGTGACATTTGCGGGACAGCGACAGTATGTAGGACATGAATCACGTCAAGAAACACACTCAGCCGCCTGCTCCTTTTTAAGGTTTCTCCGAGCAGTTGCTCCGTGCTGCCTCCCTGAGGAGCTTATAATAAACAGCCAAGTGACTTCATGAAGTGTTCTCCGTGCGCTCTCACTCCTCCACTGTGCCACTGCCATCACTCCACGTCTTAGAGACTGTGCCCGGCATTTCAGCTTGTTGTAGTTTGTTTTTTTAGGCGTTCACGTCAGTGGATATTTTTGCACCAGGTCCAGGATCGGCAACAATAACAGAAAATGCCCCCCGCCTTTGTTCGGATGTCTTTTTAAATATTTACAAGTTGTCATGTCATCTCTGACTGGAAGAGGAAGAGAGGGCTTTCCAGCCTCGATCCGAGGAGGTCTCTGGGTAAGTCAGATTTGTTCGTTTTGGGCAAAATGTGTTAGCATTTGTGGGGGTTGAGAGTTTCTTGAGAGTACTGTTGCACTAGAAAAAACAAAACACTTGGGTGTGGTTACAGTAGTCCAAGTCGATTGATATTTAATTCCCCCTGCCAAAGCCCACATACATCCTTATTTATCATGATTTATTTCTCAGAGCACAGAAGTGCAGCATCACTTTGAGACCGCAGGGAAGGACCGCCAGCCCAAGGAGCGCCCCTCTCCCGTGGGTGCCGGAGGGTCCAGGGGCGACCCATATCGGAATATGTGCCAGAGAGCAGACGATGTCCCGTCTTACAAGTCCCTCCCTGGATCTGTAGGAGACCGCATCCGGACAACCATGTCCTTTAGGACTATATGTAGAGGAGGCTCCATGTCGGCGAATCCCGGCTTTGGGAGGTCCGATCGGAAAGTTGCTCGTTGCGAGAAGTGCTCAGCGACCCTTGTTGCTCTGAAGAAACAAGCCCTGAGCCTGGCTGTTCACCATCACTTCTCCTGCAAGGTCAGTGACAATGATACTGTGATGGGGATTAAGTGGCACGCACAGTGCAGCCGTGTGCAGTCTATATAATTACAGTAATAATATCGTGTTTGGACTCAACAGACAACATTTAACTAAAATGAAATATGCAAAGCATATGGATGCTTATCAGCAGGTGGTCCTGGTGTATATTTGTTACATTCGTTAAAAGAAATGCACATTCATATTTTTTGTGATGAATTTAGTGACAAAAGTATTCACAAACTTGCTTTTTCCTCTCAAATAACCTCTTTGGGTCTGAATATTGTGAATTGAAAGAATAAATAAGAATAAATATGCATGAAAAATGTTAAAAGAAGACATGAATGCTTCAGCGAGGGCCGATAAACTCTAATAAACCTGCTGTGAAAACATTTTATGACACTTATGTCACACAGAAGCATAACTGGTTCCTTTTGAGGACATAGTGATGCTTAACAAGTGCTCATGTGGGACCTTCGGTGCTTCCTTTCAGAAGCGTGCACGTTTGCACATTCATCACCACCAAAATCCATCATTCGGACTCCGATCGCCAAAGTAAACCAGTGACATTCCTGCGCCAGTGGCTTTAAATGGCCATGAATATTTCATGGCGACATCCCTGTGTCATCTCCACAGTTCTCTCCATTGAGGGAAGGCTATTTATTTTTGTCCTCTTAAGTGGGATGGGGCGTGTCATGTTTTTGGAGACCACAGGGAGAGCAGGAGGACGATGGGAGGCACCGTGCGGCCACAGACGTGGTCAGTAGAAATCTGATAAGCTGCTCGCAGGTTTATTGATCGTGATTTCTCAGTAGCATCATGGGTGAATAACGTCATCTGTTAAGATGGAGTTGCTGCTGTCTCTGCGGCACCTTATACTCTGTCATCAGTCTGACCTGAAATTCAGTTTGGCTTATTTTTGCCTCTTTGATACGTCAGGATTATTATCTCTATATATTATTTATGAGGGAAGTTTATTTAGCACCAGCTGCTTCAGCACGTTTAGGCTTCGAGTGAAATTGTGCAACATTTAAGAGCTCCTGTTGAGCTCCTGTGAGGGAACATCGGTCAGTGTAGGAGGGAAGGAGAAGCAGTGCGTGCTGGATGCTGCTGTGTGTCTTTCTCAGGATGACAAACAAGATGATGGTTTTTGATTCCTTCTTGTTAGCTGTGACAGCCGGGGCCAGACCTGAACCTCAGGTGTCAAAATCTCTGTTTTAAAGTAGCACGATTTTCCTTGTTCTAACCTCCTGTTGTCAGATTTTTCCAAATTAAATTCAATCCAGAAAGCAGCTGTCTATTACAGTAACACAGTGATGACATGACATTCAGCAAAATGCTAATATTGGCTGAAAAAAGACACAAACACGACGTCTCACTTGTTTTGTTTCAGACAAATAAAGCCCGTCTTCCAGGATGACGCTAGTCTCCGAGAATTTCCAGTGAACTGAGATTTATGATCCATCCACGTGTGAGATGCAGTAAACACAGTTTTCTTCACTGGGCTGTTAAGGATCATAAAGACAGTGTTAATCAATACCTCGCTGTAGAAAGTGGCTTCCTGTGACTCTGTTCTCATACTCAGTGATCATACAGCCAGATATCAAACAGATTCGACTGTTACTGTGTCCTAATGTGAAGATTGCGCTCGACTTATCTTATTTTGTCAATTACAGGCGAGTGTTGTGCAATAATAAAAAGGTACTATAAACAGCAAAGGTGTTTTCCTGTCTGTGACTCCTGTTGCTCTGTTCTCTCACTTGTGCAGGACTTGAGTGACCTGTCAGCCTTTCTTCATGAAAACCTCCGGGTCCACAGTCGGTCCACCACGGACTTCAGAGAAAGAGAGCAGGGGGAGTGTGGAGCCTGCGGTACAAACCTGTACCAGCTCAAGCAAGAGGCCATCCATGTGGCTCTGAGCCGGGGTCAGGCATTAGCCAAGCCTTCTTTTGAAGCCAGCCTCAGCACCGGCTCGCTGTTTGGACAAATTGAAGCAAAGCGAGGAGACAGGGCTTCGAGGGAGGCTCTGGATCAAAGCCACGCTCCTCAGAGCCCGCGCAGCCCCAGGACGCCTCAAAGGACCCCGCAGACCCTCAGACGAAGGGGGCCCAAGCTCCCCAACCCTGATATGGGCCGCTGGGTGGAGGAGCAGCAGCAGCTGGTGGCTTCTAAATCTGCATCCAGAGCTAATGGTGTCACCACAAACCCTTACCGTCAGGTACCACTATGAGCCCTTCTCTTAGCATTGAATCGCACATGCCCTCCTAACGAGCTATATGGGTAATGTGTGCCTTTACGGGCGCACGTGTCAGCGAGTGATTCATAGGGCCTAATCAGAGCCTATTTCCATCCCGTGGCTGAGTGTGTTGTTCAAAAGTACTTTTGCTAATGGAATGGAATCGGCTCATGATTTACCTCTGAGCCGGCCGGTCAGAAAGCACTTGTGATCAATAGAGGGACGGTCGTATTGAACACTGCGGCTGGCGAAATATGCATTAGTGTGATAGAAGACGGTTGAGCGTGTCCTTCCCAAGTCCCCAATAAAAAAAGATTATAAACCTGTACAAGGTGACTGAGAACTGACTTTTCTTTACTCAGTTGTCGGCTCATTTTTGCTGTGAGCCAACAACTAAAAATACCCCAAATCCTTCATCTAATGTAGTTAGTGTCAGATTCTAGGACTACATTTGACCTGGTTGACAGATAATATGTGTAGGCATCACAGTTTTCAGTTTGCTGAACCACAGTTATTGTAAACTGCATAGAGATATATCTGAGGAGGGTGTCTACAGTATAAAATTGCTTCGAGGGTGGAGGTTTTCCGGGAGCTCTCTCAAACAGAGCAGCAGCCTGTGGACATATTAGCACGCTCAGCTGAGGGACAATTTCATGCTAGCATATTCACTGTAGGAGCTATTCCTAACATTAGCATCCCTGTCACGCTTTGTCTCTGTCAAAGCTAAAAATTGATTTCCATTCACTAATCTAAAATCTAAACTTAGTCCTGCTTCTGTACTGATAATAAGCTCCTGATATTTACTTAGTGAACTGCAGACACGGGGCAGCTCGAGCTTTTACAGATCTGAGTATTATGTTAGCATAAAATAAAGTGTGATCTTATATGCTGATAGCACATTTTTAGAATCCTTCTTAACATCATCAGCAACATGATCTACAGTGCAGAACAGTGCAGAACAGTGCAGAGTGTACAAGTGCAGAGTGTACAAGTGCAGAGTAATGGCAGTATTTCGTCTGCTTGATCTTCAAACTGGGATATGCAGCTTTAGCTCCAGGCTCTTGGTTTATGTGCATGTAGGCATCTGTGTGAGGTCCTTTTAAAAGATTTAGCATTTTAAAAAGTGCTCATAAAAACGGAGTCAGCTCTATTTTGCATTTTCACTCAACTCTGAGAGTTAGCACTACCAAAGTTAGCTCGCTGATAAAAATCTGCTAGCAGCAGTTGTCAAAACTGACAGTCACCATCCAGGAAGAAAGTCTGCTTTGTGTACTTTTGTCTGAAATAACAGAGCCATTGTTTGAAAAATGACTGAGAATTTCCATTTATCAGCCGTGTTATCACTATGTGAGGAGGAGTGCTTAACTGGACCAAAGGAGTCTTCAGAGATTCTTTTAAAAACTGTTATTTTGAAGGTCTAATCAAATGTGACAATAACAGCGCTCCTGTACTGTGGAAGAAATGATTCGTACGTGTTTCAGTTTGAGAGCAGATCAACTGAGGTTTTTCCAGCTTCGGTGAAAGCGAAGGCGTAGGACGAGAAGTGAGGAGACGCAAAGAAGGGCAGAGGGAGAACGGAAGGAGAGGAGAGAAGGAAATGAAGTGTGCAAGATTGGAGGCAAGGAACGAAAGGGTTGAAGGGAAGGAAGGGCAACGAGGAAGGAGAGGGGAAAACAAGACATCATGAAAGACCGCATGAGGAATTGGAGCAAGGGAAAGTGAAGCGATAAAAAAAGATTACGACAGAAGACGCGAGTCAGAAAGCAGAAAGCAGGAGGGTTCGGGGAAGTGTGCATTATCCATATTATCTCTGGCTTCCTCATTCCCGACAATGACCGCAGATTTCCTCTGGCACTAATTGGCACTTTGCGTTTGTGATGCTA